CTAATATGTTAACTACCACATCCTCGAATTTCGAATCGATCCTTCTAACTTTAGTTTTAGATAAAAAAGATAACAAAAAATTTTGCACCTCTCTCTATAAGAAATTCATATATACATAAATGAAGATATTGGAATCATTTTTATAGAACCGTGTATGCGCTTTATTTCTGTTTAAACTTAAGAGCGCCGATATGCGTGTCCTGTTATAGGAAGGTCAGGGACTCTGCACATTTCACAGGACGACAGACTGTTATAGCGTACATTGGCTACTAAATATAGCAAACTTTTACAGATGCGCCTTCGGTATATCTACCGATTTTTCTCGCCGAACAAATGTGAAGAAAATGGCGCGCTTCTTCGTACTATTTGCAGATTTTTCAGCGCTTTTGATTTCGTGAGTGTTGGATACCTTACAAAATATAATAGCATACTATTCGTGGAGAAAATTCCCATAAAAATACCTGTCGCCCTTTTGTAAAGCTTGCGTGAATTCTAGGAACATCTCCCAGATTTCTGCTGAGTTCGATAGTGTAGCCGGTGGTACCCAAGTTCTCGTCCAGGCCTTTAGGCTTCAAGTACTTTCAGGCGAGTTCCTGAGCAAATGTTGCCCATTTTGTCGGATTGCAACATTGTACTGCACCGCGAATTTGCTTTCCCGCTTCAGCTGCACACCTACGAATTGCGCCAACGCTGCTGGGACTTTTTCGTTAATTTTGTCTTTGATGGCTGTGGTCTATGATGAGCAAAGGTCTTATATAGAAATTGGTTTGGCAGAGTTACAACGTCACTTTGTAGGCTAGATATATCTCCGAAAATATCGATTACCTACTGCTCTGTATGGTTTCGACTGCGATTGCAGAAAGTTTGCAAATAAAAAAATTAAAATCAAAAATTAAAATAAATCAAAATTTAACCGATTGATTAATACCGACATTGATGAAGCTATACTAAATTGCTATAAGAGCAAGCGAATAAATGGCTGAGTAAGTGAAAACTGAATTTTATTTTCAGTTCTACGCACTTCCCTACTTCACATGAACGCATTGATGTTGCAGCAAGGCAGCAGAAGTGGAGTTCGCAAGGAAAAGCCATCTCCCTTAAAGCTACGGCAAGTAATTAAAAAAAAAAAACGGATGCTCAAAGGCGGGCAGTGGTGAAACTAACTGGTCTCTTTTTGCCATTCGCATCGCAGACTTTGAGCAAGTTCGGAGGTGGAAAGGGCGGGTTAAATCGTACCAGGTGCATTTTAATTTACTTAGACTTGATTTTCGCTTTCTGCGTGCTGTTCATTTTTGGACGTCAAGTAGCGTTTTCCGCTCTTTCGATTGTGCCACAGCACTTGGCTGTTTGTCAGTTTGTCAGTTTGTTCGTTTGATTTGGCTGAGCGTTTAGCTGCCAAGAGTACTTACTTCTACTTGACGATGCGCTAACATATGCCGAAGAGCGCCGCTTCAGTCCACTTGTGCCGTCATTATTGCTCCCGACGGGTAGAAATCGCGACAGTGACAACAACGTTTTGAAAAGGTCAGTCACGTTGTGATCCTCCTTGGCAGAGCACTCCAGCACTTTCGCCCTGTAAGTAGGAAAATAATGCGAGTGATGAAAATCAAGCAGAGATAAAATACGAAAAGTTTACACAAAATGGAGAATTGAAAGTGTTTTTGTGATAGAAGAAGAAACCCACGTTGCGGACAAAATAAAACAAACATTTACAGGGAATGATTGCAAAGGTATATTTTTGTTAAAAAAACATCTTTATATATACAGAAGTGTGTGTATGCATGTATACGTATTAGTTTGAAAAAAGGACCAAAATTGTTAACAGCAGTGGCGGATTTAAGAAAAAGGGCCCAGTCAGCAATCTCTTCGGGGGCCCACTTTTGTTATACATACATTTCATAAACCAACAAATATTTTCGGTGTGTCAAACAATTTCTATTGAATTTAGAATGGTTTTAAATACTACACAAAATTTGATTCCGCGTCTTGCTTTTTGTTCAGCAAATATTTCCATACCGGAATCTAAACTCACTGAGTTTGCCACTAATCTTTCAATAAAAAGGATAGAGAAATCATTGAGTGTGTTTTCATCTAAAGAGGCAGTGAGGCCCCGCTGGCGGTACATTTTTCCCTTCCGCAGTGTCTTGACACTCCTCATGGCACCAATTGTTCCTTCGTGCTCGCTGAAATCCGACTACTTTTGTGGCGGCTGCACTTAATGAGCGGAAAATGTAGTTCCACTACTCTTGTATGTCGTTTTGTTGAAGAGTGCTCTCAGAGATCAGGTGTGAGAGTACAGTTGCGAATAAATAAGCGGTCTGTTGCGATTGCAGCATTTTGACGTTAGCTTTCCTTGCATAGTCTGCAACAAAATCCCTCAAACACGGACGATCTGGTTTCTCGTTTTTCGATCCGGACACAGCCATGTAGCTTGATCGATCTTTTAATGCTGGAATCTAGTACGGTTGATGCGGTTTGTGGCAAGACGTTCGTCCGCCAGAGTGAACGCCAGTACTCGGCGACGGTGTCTCTCTCCCACCACAAATCCAACAACGAATTTGCGCCTCTTTATATGGCAACTCTAGTAGACGTTGGAATGCGCACCTCCGCTCCACACCGCCTGGGTTTAAGCCCTGGTCAAAGCATCATCGCAAAAAAATGAGGAAAAAATGTTGTTTCTTAACAAAGGTCGCCTCTCGGCAGGCAATGGGAAACCTCCGAGTGCATTTCTGCCATGAAAAACAGCTTCCCATAAAAATAAAATCGTCGTTCGGAGTCGGCGTAAAACTGTAGGCCCTTCCCCTTTGTGTGACAACATCAAGGCGCACACCACAAATCGGAGGAGAAGTTCGCCCAAACACTAGCATATGTATGTGTAAGAACAAATTCCTCGGGAGTATTCAGAATTGGGCTGATAGTATCTTTCCTAAGTATACACACTTTTTGGTTCCATTTTTTTGCGAAAAATATTAATTTTGTTCAACAATTTTATTGCAATTCTTGCTTGATCATGTGTGTTGAATATAATTGTTATAAGGCCATAAATAAACTCAAAAAAAATGAAAAAAAATTAATTTTTAATACCATTTATTTGTTTTCAAATATGAATGAGTTAGCCAGTGAGTCGAAGTTTAAGTAATATTTATAATTTGTGATGTGCGTCTGGCTGTTGTTACACAACTGGAAGGACCAACGGCGAATGGATTTTTTGAGAAGCATTTGCCTTTAAATACCGAGGGGTAAAAATATTTTTTCTATTTAGGATGTTACCTGGGCCAGGAATCGAACTCAGCTCCTACATAGGGGTACTACGCATCTCTAACCACTCAGCCACAGCAGAAGTTTAAGTGCTTGGCTATAAAAATATTCATTTAGCGCGCCTGTATAGTGAGAGAGTAGTGATTTGTATTTCTATAACTATTAAATCCGGGGTCTGTGTAGACGCGACCGAGAATACAGTTATTTGTACGAGTATATACCGCACACGCAATGCGCGCGCGATTCCCACATCCCAGCGCCTTTCTTTCAAACCCAAATCGGTCGCAACACTAAATACGTGGGAGATTATTATTTTGCGCCAGCCAAATGCCGGCCCGTCCAACGGAAATGAAAAGAATGCAATGAAGCAGCATGAGCAGGCTTGCTTGATGCACTGACCAGCGAATGCCACCATTCATTGTTATAGAGAGGAAGGAGCGCGCGACTTAAGCCGCCAGTCAAACATCAACTATGCGCCGCCAATGCGCGCTCAAGCGGTATGTAGATTCAAAGAGCCTGTACAAAATACATTTGTATATGCATAGGTACGTACGTAGATATCCATAACTAAGCGTAAATTTGAATACACAACTGCGGGCGGCAAAACGCTGCTCTTCCAATGATCGGCCGGCCACATGCGACTTAGCGCGAATTCATATGTTATTCTTACGGATATACGGGACGAATATGTTTTTGCTTGTTTTAGCTTTGTTGTTAATTTTTTTGTGCTTTACTGGCGCAGCATTGGTTGTAGGCTGAGTCGCATTGGAGCGTAGCAAGGCGGATTTCCTATTTAAGCCGCGCGCTTTCCGTGCTGTTATGCCGTTATGTGCGCTCGAGCGTGTATGTGTATTGTGGAGCTTAGCCGCTTTGGTATTGTAAATTTATTTTCTTCATTTAAATTTAAATTGAATTTTTAATAATAAACACAGCGGATTTCTGAACTCCTGTAATCCGCGCGGAATCACTATGCAATTTTCGCCAAAAAAGTACTTAAATTTATATGTATTTCTATCGAAACTGCGTTTTCCAAATCTTTAATTCGGGCGGTGGAATCCCGAGATAGATACTTGTGTGTATGTAAAATCGCCATTTGTCAAATACATACAAACATATGTATGTATGCACGTTCATGGCAACCACAGCGAGCTATTTGACCGCCGACAACGACAACAACCAGTAGCAGCCAGTAGCAGTTACTTACTTAAACTTCCACCGAATGGGTGATGTAATCATCGCTAATGATTTAAGTACTAAAGTAACTACTTAACGCTGTTGTCAATTCAACTAAACGCTCGAATTGCCAAATTAGCAACTGGCTTACATCTTCGCCACTACTGGTTTTCCACTAAGCCCACCCTCCTCGCCAAATATTTGGAGAAGAAGTCATTGAAAATGCTGGTAACTGGGTAAGTAATTGAACTACATAAGAGCAGCTGTTGCTACTTCCGGCGGGGACAGGAAATGAGCCATTAAATGGGCAACTTTAAAAGCATCGTACAGTAAGCCAGAGTGGAAGTAATTGCATTTGCATTTTTACATACATACAAACATACAAATGTGTGTACATACATATGTACAGACATTAGACCGGTTCGGTCCCGCTGCGATAGAAAAATTCTTGGTTTGATAGCTTACTTCGGGAGCATTTCAGGGTCATAGAAATTTTCGTCCTTGGCTAGTCCTAAAAACAGCTAAAGTTAAGTTTTCTTTACAACTCTTTTGTGTATTACTAGATTCCAAAATGTGAAAATGTGAAAGCCGCTGTGGCTGAGTGGAAAGAGGTGCGTACTAACTACCACACCGTAGGGCCTGTGGTCAATGCCTGTTCCGAGCAATATCTAAAATTAGAAAACGCCACAGACGAACTTTGAAACGTGTTAGAGAAATGGGAATACCTTCACTACGTTTTGTCGAAACAAAGGAGAATTGAAATTTTCTGTACAGCCATCATATGTATTTCGAGAGGAAATTTGTGACTGAAGTAGAATTTCAAGCCGCCATTTTGCTACTTTTGTCTCTGTTGCCAGCAGATTTGGATGCTCCAAGAATGATAGTATACACTCGTGTTAGTTGCGAGAGAGAAATGTCAAAACGCGGGGAAGAATGCAAGAAGAAGAAGAAGAATTTTTGCAAAAAAATGTAAACAAGTTTCGCAAGTGTGGCGTCATACAAACAGAGATTGTGTCAAGTTCACTGAGAGGGTAATAGCGGTACGAGATGGACGGATCTCGAGATATTAGAAATTGTCACGAAAAAAAAAATTTCCATACAGTGTCCAACCTTTGTTCTCTAGATCATGGGATGCTCTCGCATCCCTCAAATAACAACTGGCTTTTGAGAGCTCATTTTCTGCTAAGATTAGACTACCACTTCGCTAACTTTGTGATCTTCGAGTAAATACTAAAGCATCCAAGATAGTTTTACCTTCACCTCAGTATAGTTTTAAATTTAAAGTTTCTAATTCTATTCTTTAACTCGAATTCTATGAGAGTAATTTTCGGTGAATTTTGACTTTTACCTTTTATGTAGAACTAACAGAAAATTAATTGCTGCCACAGTGCTATTTGCAGCTGTTGAGCTCCACGTTTCGGCTGAAAAAAGAACCACGAAACAAGGCAAATAATTTTGCCTAATTAACGAGCGAAGCAGCGAACTGGACGGTAAACTTTCTTCTTAACGTCTATGTACCTATTAGGGATGTTAATTTTTCGCTTTTTAAGATCCCGGGATTTTCGGGATGTCGTTATCACAATCGCGGGATCCCTGGATTAGTCCTGGGATTTAGATATGCTGATACTTTTCAACAACTTAAATCGAAAAAATTGCTTCTATCTCTTCTACCATAAAATAAATAATAAATAAATGGGTTTGAAACCTACTTTTTTTATTTAAAGTGGCGTTTTTATTTTATTTTTTTCTCTGACGCCAGGATTTATTTTAAAGGATTTTGTTATTTAATTTGATTGATTCAAAAATTATTTAAAAAATTCAATGCAATGCAGAAAAAATATGGATAACAAATGAAAGAGAAAATTTCTTTAGAATCTAAAAAAAATAAAATTTGAAGCTGATAAAGTTAGAAGGATGTTATCGAGTTTACAGAAGTCCTTAACATATTATTTTTTTTCAAAAACAAATATTTCGAAATTTTAAGGATACAATTTTCAAAGTACATTTTCAATACTTACCAGCCCTTATGCATTAAAGAATTGGGTCTGTCTAAATTCTAAAGAATTTCCTCTTTAATTTGATACCCATACTTCTACTCTAAGCACAATTCACTGAATTTTTTAAATCAGAGTAAAAAACTAA